TCAAATTAAAAAAATACTTTTTATAAAGTAATTTTTTTCAAATTACTACTACAATATCAAATATACTATTATGATGTCCGACATTGCGGTACAGGTACAAAAGTTTTGAAAACCTTCTAATGTTGTTAGTTAAAAATTTATATTTTTTTATAGTTTTAAGTTTTTTTAATGTATTAATATAAAGGATGAATTTTAAAAAATAAAAAATATATATATTTTAATATATTAAAAAATACTTTTAAAAATAATATTTCTCATATTTCCAAATAAAAATAATATAAAATAGTAAAATATTGTGCGATGGCAAGCTATTAACATCTCATGTAATTACAAAACTTATTTAAAGGAGTCAAATAAAAAATAATATAAGTCTATATTTTTTTATTATATGCACTCTAATTATAAATGCCATCATGTTTAAGTTTAAATCTTTAATCTTTTCTTTTGAAGTAAGCCAATAACAAGATCTTCTCCTTTTAATTTATTATTTTTTCCAAGAATGTATAAGAATAGCATTTTTATGAGATGGAATGAATTTTACCTATTATTTTAGCTTATCAGCGTCCAAAAGAAAGAATGATGAGATAAATTAGATTTTTTTTTTAATCTAATGTTAGAGCGTGGTAGTACGGTGATGATTATTTTTAAAATATTTTTTATTTGAAAAAAATATTTTTTATATTTTAAAATTTATTTTTGACATTAAATATGTGAAAAGGATAAAGAAAAAAATTAATAAAAAAATTTAAAACTTCCTCACAAATACCCTGTAAAAAGATGCCCTGTAAAGCTGCTGTCTTGTGGACGACGCAGCGTGTGAACTGTGATGTGAAGTGTTCGTATACAAACAAGAATAAAGACGAACATGAAAATGACTTTTAAGGAAGTGTGTGTGGACGTGTTTAGAATTTGTTAAGTTTGATTTGTTTTGTATATCATTTATCCAGCAAACGAAGATATATACTTAGTTAAGTGGAAGCATTCGTGACAGCATCGTGGAGTCAATTCAGTTTTGTCCTTCCCCAGTCGACTCCACAATCTACATTCAGATCTTTCGATGTCCTTTTCTAAATATTTTTAACGCGTCAAATTTGGTGTTTGCTACCCCGACTCCATTCTTCTTTCTTCTTTCTTTTCTCTTTTTTCACACCAAACCTAGAAAATATACCGGTTACTTTAATATCATCATCAAAATATTTTTTATATCATTATTTTTAAAATTTCTTTTTGTTATCATCCAAATTATACAATTTCTTTTTGTTAAAATATCATTTTACAGAGAATTTAACATTTTCTATTTTGTTTGTGATTTTAATATAGACTTTTAGAAATAAGATTTTGGATGTGAAATTGATATATCCTAGTTGATGAGTCTAAAATTTAAAATATTTAAAAATAAAATTGATATTTTAGGTAATTGATTTATCTTTTAGTTCATGTGATCTAATTTATTTTTTATAGTCAATATATCTAATGACTTAATATAAAAAACTCACAAGATTAATAACCGATAACATGTGACATCTAATAAATTAAGTGATTAATAATTATAGTAGTAGCAGAAGACGTCTGATTAACCAAATGATTAATAATCAATACCTATAAAATATCATTTTTTATGAATGTGAGTATTTTTATAATTTTATAAAAAAAAATATAATAATAATTCAAAGATGTATGCTCTGAATATATATATATAATAAATAATAAAAAGATTCTAGATTTTTAACTTAAATGATTCATGGTGTATTTATAACGCCTTGATCTTTTTTTTTTTATTGGAAGAAGAGACTGAAATATAATTTAACTCTTATTATATTTTAAGTTTTATTTCACTCAAAATAATATATATTAAATTAATAAAAAATAATAAAAAATCTATATAAAATATAAAAAAATTATTTTATAAAATATTAAATTTAAATTCATTAAAAATAATAATAAATCCAAGTGTGCTGCTTGGATTCAAACATATCAGGCTTACGAGTAACAGCCCAAGTCTACAAATACGCTAAAATGCACTGGATGTTCATGCACCCTTGCAGGGAGCATGGGCTCGAGCTATATACCTACGTGAGCTGAGGCTTCTTGTGTAAATCCATGCTTTTTAGAAATTAGATTCAAGCTACCACGTCCAAAATTATTTTGTATATTTTAAGGAATTATTTTGGGTACATCACTAATAATTATCAACAGTGCGTTGAATATTGTATATATAATAAAATCTTTTTTTAAGTCACAGCAACTTTAGGTTACGTGAAAATAAAGTTTATAAAAGATACACTATCTTTTTATCCATTCTATACTCTTTACTTGTCTTATAACATGCAATACACAGCAGGTAGGACTCCAAGTTAATTCTTGTTGCAGTAAAAGAACATATCAATATTTCATATGTATTTTATTATATCATGATTTCTTTCTAGTTATGAAGTGTAAATGTATTGTTTACACTTAATAAAATAAATTAAAAAAAAAATACAGGAATCAATAAACCAAGAAAAAATTGTTAATGTTAATCAGAAACTAAAATGAAAAGCTAATTGTTTTTTAAAAACCAAAAGACCGACGAGCATGTAAGTCAGTATTTAACTTCAGCTTTCCTTTTTTATTTATATATACATTATCATGGAGATTATTGTTTTCAGAACAAATTCCTTTTATTTTGATAATACATCCTCAAAATGTAATTTATCTATAAAAAAAATATAATCAAAAAAATTACAATAATCTTTTTGAAACATTATAAAAATAAATTAATAACTACAATTTAAAAAAATGAATTAATAATTTAAAATACAAGAGAGAGAATTTTAATAAAACATCAAAACAAAGTTAAAAAAAAAAACACATCAAAGAAGAGGAAGAAGGATATGTGATAAAAATTTAAACTATAAAAATTGAAGGTTATGATAATAAATATTCTAAGGATTCTAAACGATTCACAATGAGGATAAAAGGCTTTTTTTTAATTAAAAGCTTTTTATCTTATTAATGTGATTTATTTTTTTATAATTTATTTTTTGAAATGTTTATTTTTTGCAGCAAATTATCAAAATCATAAAAAAATTATTTTCATTTTCTTATCATGATTGTATTTTAAAATATAAGAACAATACATTAAAAATTTTTGGAGCCAGTTTTTTATGTAATCAAGCCATAATGAAAAATAATTTATGGAAAGAGGCTAGAAAACAAAATTTAAGAAAAAAGACATACAAATGACGAATGGTTGTACAAAAAGGTACTGTTATTAAATAAATGTTTTTTTCTCAAAAATGATATTTTTAGTGTATTTTAAAGTTATTATTTTTTTGAAATTCAACCAAAAAAATAAAAAAAACCATAGCCGCCCAAATATACAGAGACAACATATTTGCCCATATAATAAAAAGGTTAGATTAACATGTATGACTTTTTTTCACCCATAAAGGGGCGAAAAAAATGTCACCAGTCCTTTTTTTTTTAATAGATATAAAAACAGGCATGCATCATTTGCCTGTCTAGTTTTCAACCACATGAAAGATGGTTGGAAAATTAGGCTAGATTTTTATTTTGATATTTAATTTTTAATTTATTTTTACTTATAAATACCTAATAAAAATTCTTACCATGATAATAAATCAATCTCTTAATTTAAAACAACATCCAAATCATCCTAAAAACATAAAAATAAAACCCAAAAAAAAGAAACATCTTTAATTGACATTAATAAATAATATACCCAATGAATTTATTTTTTAGAAAAATGAAGGTACTTCTTTTTTTAAAAAAAAATTATATAAACCCTTAAATGCTAACCTTGTTTATTTCCATAATGCGCGGTGTGATTTGTATTTTATTTTAAATATAAATTTTAAAAATTTTAGGTAATTAATACACATCATAATTTTACATGAGTTTTATTAAAAATTCTCTCTTGAACTGTTAATTAAAAACATATATTTTATAAAAAATTTAAAACTTGTTTTTTTATAATATTAATTAACCATAAAAACCTTCGCATTAACTACCACAATAACAAATGCACCAAGTAAAAAGCAGCACCTATGGTCATTGTTAGACGGTGACGGTCACTTACAAATAATAATTGCAATGTTTCTCATGGAACAAAACCTGTGATTGGAAGGTCTTATGATGGAGGACGAATGCATGCCTGGGGCAGCCTAAAGAGTGCAGAGTATTATATTTCCTTTATCATTTGCAGACGGGAACTAATTACTCTTTCAATCACCGGCCAGATCAATCCAGTAACAGACCACCTTAAAATTAAGGTGCGTTTATTCATTGAAAAGTAATTTATTTTTAAAAAATAAATTTTAAAAAAATAAATTATTTTTGGTGTTCAACATCTTTAATTGACATTAATAAATAATAAACCCAATGGATTTATTTTTTACAAAAATGAAGGTACTTCTTCTTTTTTTTTAAAAAAAAAATTATATAAACCCTTAAATGCTAACCTTGTTTATTTCCATAATGCGCGGTGTGATTTGTATTTTATTTTAAATATAAATTTTAAAAATTTTAGTTAATTAATACACACCATAATTTTACATGAGTTTTATTAAAAAATCTCTCTTGAAATGTTAATTAAAATATATATATTTTATAAAAAAATTAAAACTTTTTTTTTATAATATTAATTAACCATAAAAACCTTCGCATTAACTACCACAATAACAAATGCACCAAGTAAAAAGCAGCACCTATGGTCATTGTTAGACGGTGACGGTCCGTCCTACCGACCGTCCATCCCAAGATGACGATGCAACACTATCCCTAATAATTTGCATATTACACTACATGACAGTAACCTTACAAATAAAAATTGTAATGTTTCTCATGGAACAAAACCTGTGATTGGAAGGTCTTATGATGGAGGACGAATGCATGCCTGGGGCAGCCTAAAGAGTGCAGAGTATTATATTTCCTTTATCATTTGCAGACGGGAACTAATTACTCTTTCAATCAATTACTCTTTCAATCCATTAACAGACCAACCATCTAGGTGATGACCAAATAATAAGAATTTAGAATTAAGGGATTTGTTCTCTCTGTAATCTCAGGTTCGAGTCCTTAATTGCTCATATGATGGCCACTGGAGGCTTACATGGTCGTTAACTTCAGGGCCCGTGGGATTAGTCGTGGTGCGCGCAAGCTGGCCCGGACACCCACGTTAATCTTAAAAAAAAAAAAATCCAGTAACAAACCAACTTAAAATTAAGGTGTTTATTTTTAAAAAATAAATTTCAAGAAAATAAATTATTTTTTGATGTTTAAGTAATATAATAAAAAATAAATTAGAAAATACTTTCCAGTATCTAGTTATGTCATGAAAAATAAGCAGCAACATAACTTATTAATATTTTATTTTTTTTCAAGTTTATTAAAACAATAAGAAACAAATCTTATAAATTAAAAAGTTGAATATGAATGAAATTGAAAAAAATATAATTTTGTAAATTATTTCAAATAAAATAAATAACAATCAAACTAATAAAGATCAAAATAACAAATAAAAAAATTAAAAGATGAAGAAATTAAAATAATAATAATAACCATTTCATAAATTATTTCAAATAAAGTAAGTAACAATTAAAATAATGAGAATCAAATTTGATAGATAAAAAATTTTAATTAAAAAATAATAAGAGAAAAACAAATAACAATTATAAAAATAAAAATTAAAGTTAATATAAAAATTAAATTTTAATGGATTAAATTGAAAAAAATATTCAAAACAAAATATACATAGCAATAAAAAATTTGAGTATCAAATTTAATATAATCAATAAATAATATAATATTTTTATATTTTTCATAATTTCTGGAAAGTGTTTTCACCTAAAATAAAATAAAAATACTTTTTTAAAAACTAAATCAAATTTTTCTTTAACAGAAAAGTATTTTTTGTTTATCAATTTTTTTAATGATAAATATAAAAAAAAATTATTATTTTTACTTTAAATCACTTCTTATCAAACAAAAAAAAAGATGTAAACAAACGACGCCCAAGCGTTTTTTTAATCAACGCTGTTTTAAGCTGTTTTTTTCAATTAAAGTTTATATGGACTCGGATCAATCGACAAAAACAGTGACTCTGGCCTTAGACAAAGTCGATCTCCGGGTTAGATTTTATAAATATCCTTTCAATTTTTAAACTTTTGTAAGTTTGGGCTTCCTTGCAATTGGAGGATGATCACAACGATGGTTTTGAAAGCAGCGTTTAGCAGCCCGAGGCCCGAAAGACTTTGATGTTAATACTGCGCTTCCTTGCAGTTGAGTAACGACGCTATCATGGAGCGAGCGGATTTGTATAAACGAGGAAATTAATCTGAAAAAGATACATAATAAAGTCATAATTCCATCTTAACCAATCTTACACAAAGTTGCTAACAATAGGGATATAAAGCTCAAATGGTTGATCCTCCATGTTTACTGATAAAAATTTTAATCCATTTTTTCTTCATGTTTGCACTCTATGCCATAAATTCTTTAGCTATCACTCCATGCTTCTTCATGGTTGAACCCTCTAAATACATGTATCTCACCTGGTATGCAATTCTCTGCAGTTGAAATCGCAGCAGGGATTGTTGCTACTGATATAGTATTCTCTTTGGTAATCTGCAAATATGTGGCTCTCGTGGTATGCAATCTCTGAATTGTGTAACTCAATAGCAATAGTCCCCTACGGCTACAACAACTGCAGCTGCACCCACCCATTGCCGCAGCTGTATTTTATAGCAAAAATCAAACAAGAAAATGCAGTGGTTAGTTTTAATATTGGGTGCCTTCAATTAACCAATCAGATAGTTTTGGTTTATGGGGGTGTTTGGAATGGTGGTGGTGGTTTAATTTCAAATTAATTCTTTGTAAGGTGTTTCCACATCGTTTTGATATTAAAAATAAAATAAAATATTTTATTTTAATATACTTACAAGCTAAAAACAATTGAAAAACAAGCAAGTTTTATATCAAACTCCAACCACCGTATATTTTTCTTTCCTACTAACTTACTGCTAATTAATCGTGTGTATGTATATATATATATAAAGAAAACGAAAAGTAAAAAAGACTACCAGGGGTCATGAATTCGGTCAGCCATGGGTTTTGTAGCCCTGGAGCAACGCTCTGCAGATTTTTTCACAGCAGACTTCTCTATCATCTTCCCGTTCATAACGGCCAACTGATAGACAGTAAGAGAACTCCAATCACCAGAACTGTTTCCTGGATCCAAAACTTCAAGAAATGTTGGAAGGTGGATTGGTTTCTGAGATTGATCTGGCGCCATCAGGAATTACTAAATAGTGATATCAGTTTTATGCTTTTATAAAATCTCAACATATCAGCATGACTGTTCTAAAAATCAACTCCATATCTACATCCATTGTTTTATTACTTGCGCTGAACAGATGCATAGCCAAACTTTTTCAGTGAATGACTAGGCTACTATGACTATTATTTTCTTCAAAGAAAAGCCAAATAAGATTTTCAACTATGATATTCGATTGTACATGAATCGCGTTCATGTATTTGCAAATCATGCCGAAACTGGAATTCTGCAAACTGTCAGAGTTGTATAGAATAATTTCAAGCCTTTTCAAATAAGTGTTATCATGGATTTCAAGCATACTTCCTTCTTTCTATGTGTTAGACGCCGCTCCATATCAGAGTTCAACGAATCATCAGTTGTTATTTTGGGATGCTCTGTTCCAAACAGAAAAACGGGAAACAAATTCTAGCCGGCGAATTATATTTGTTAATTAATAATTAATTACCCACTTTCCTTTTCTTGCATTTTCTCTTTCTGTAAATGATCTACGCCACGAAACAGAACACGCAAAGAATGCAGCCATTTAAACTAGAAATCAAGCAAAAATTAGTGACTCGAGAAATACAAACCACAGTTATCATATTTAGTAAAGCTGAAGAGAGAGAGAGAGAGAGAGGCGTGCAAAAATGGAGCTGTGGAGGTTGAAAAATTAACAGTGGTTTGTTTGTGAGCAGAGGCTTAAGCTTCAGATCCGTGTCTTCTGAAAAGGAAGAGAGGGTTTTGGAGCGCAGATCTAGCATGAATCAAAAAAAGGGAAAAAAATCTCAAACAACACAAAATCAAAAGAAAGAGCATGAGGAAGAGAGGGGGAAGATTTACCTGGAGATTGAAAACTTGTTGATCTCTCTTCACTGATTAGAATGAGAGCCCAAGGCGTAAGAGAGGAGAGGCAGCGAAGAGGAAGATTTTTCTCCCGCTCTCAAATTTTTTTTTTAAAAAACCATGTTCACTTCCTTTTCTTTTGTTCTTCTCAAATTTACTATTACGAGGATATTGTTTTATTATAAAACATAACCGAATTAGAAGCATATATTTTCTAGTTAAATACCATTAAGAAAATCATTATTAAAAACTTCAAGCAAGTTGAAGGAGTAGTAAATATCGATTGTGTTTTTTATTAAATAAAAAAAGTTTATGTTTTTCGGTGTGATGAACTCGCTTTATGTTTATTTATTAAATGAAAAGCACATTATATAAAACCAATCCCTAAATTCACGAATTCCATTTTTTTAAATAAAAAACATATTATATAAAACCATTCTTATTGTTAACAAATCCATATCCAGCTTCAACCTTGATTTTAGTTTCTTCTCTCAATAACCATAACCAAAAATAAAATCAAACCTTAAAACTCTTTTTGTTTTTTTTTCAAAAAATGCCGGCGCAGCTTTGTACATGCTAGATATCATATTGCCAAGGCGCTGGTAACAATTCCACACCGTGTTCCTTAATATTAGTGATTAAATTTTAAATTATTTTTTATTTATAAATATTAAAATAATTTTATTTTATTTTTTATATCAAAACAATCTAAAAATAAAAAAATAATTTTTTTTTAAGCACACTTATACCACTAAAACAAACATATCTTTATTAAATCTTAACAGTGAATACAGAGTATTAACATGTATCTTAATTTTTTTAATAATTTAATTTTTATTCACCAATTGACGGAAATTTTAGTTAGAAAATCAAATTTTTATTTTTAGTTATCATTTATTATTTTATTTATTAACATGTATGGTTTTTAATTTATTTGAATATATGTGTGTGTGTATATAAAATTTATTTGAATATATGTGTGTGTGTATATATATAAACTTTTTTATTTTTACTTAAAAACTTTTTAAATACAAAAAATATATTAGAAAAACTGGTATATATAACTTTTTAAATACAGAAAAATACACGGTTAAAGTATCTAGTCAGAAAAGATATTCTGGAATTAAAGAAAGTTTCTTTTACAAGGGCCGGGCCCTACCAAACCCCTGTTTCCGCCATGCCTCCTGGAATCGTACAATTTCAGTAATAGGATTTCATTCTACCGACATATTAGAAAAACAAATTGAGACAAAATAAAAGCAAAGATCCACCCGTTACGATTATATAATCATTTCATTAGGTAACTACAAGAGCAAGAGTTTAAAAAAAAAAAAAAAAACATACACGAGTTATTAGTAGATGAAAAAGAAAAACATATAATTAACAGAATAAGAGTAAATTTTCAAAAACACTTGCTGCTTCCATTCTTAATTCATTTTGTGCTTTTGGTAGGCGCTTCTTCCATTAATCCATTTCTCATTAATTTAGTTTGATTCTGTTTGTGGACGCTGCCATGCCCATAGATGAACCGGGCTGCTCCTTCAGTGTAGACATGAGTTTCGCTGTCAAGCCTGCCATTAAGTAATGTTCCAAGTTAGTCACGGCTTAATTATTATAGAAGAGAAAGGTAGGAGGAGGATGACATGCATGGGCCTTACGATTTTCGAACAGCTTTGCTCAATGTCGAGGCTGATGAAAATGTTTTACCATCAAGATACCTGTTTTCCCCTTTAATCCTCTGTTTAATTCTGGTGTCTATCTCATCAGCACTCAGCATAAATGGAGAATCTGAAGCCTGTTAATTAAATTGCAACTTTTACATGTGCCTGAACTATCACGGTAAAGACAAGTTGTATGTATAGTCTTGATTGACAGTAATAAAGGCCTAAAAATTTGTGTCCAAGTAAATTTGCGGGGAACTGATAAGTGCTGAAACTATTTCATTTAAGTGATCATCATAAGGCTAGAAGAACGTTTCAGAAGCCTGGAAAGTGGAGGATTAATTGTTTTTAGAACAGAAAGAGAATGTGTTAGGTATAATACCATGACCCATCCCCAGGTATCAGCATAGGAAGGGATATGAGCTGAATAAGGCACCACATCTGCACGTTGGGAAATAAAGAAAAATAAAATTGGCCAAGCCATTAATTTGGTTTCAGTTTTGTTGCTTTATAAAAAAGAAACAAAATGTTAGTAAATATTTAGGAGTTACTTACATTTGAACACCTGCCTTAAAGTGTTGTAGATGCATGAAAACACTTCTGTATGGCTGAAAATTCCAGCTGGTCCTGCCTGCAAAATTCACAGGACATGAATGGTTATTTCTTCCATCCTCCCTCTTCCCCACTGTCTCTCCCTTTCCAAAAACCAGAAACGATTATATATACCTGTGTGATAAATACGCCACCTTGATTGAGTCTGGGCTTAACGGTGTGCTCATAAAAGGACTTAGTGTAGAGTTTGTAACATGGGCCTCCCTCTATTGGGTCTGCCAGGTCTCCTATGATCACATCATAGCACTCCTTTCCACTTTCTAGCTCAGCTCTGCAACATTTCACAGCAACAATATATATGAACGAGAAGAAACGAGAATAGTAATGAAATGCTTAACCTTTTTTTTAACAACAATAGCAAAAGAAACATAGAATCTAGAGTCAAACCTGGCATCGTTGATGATGACCTCAAGTCTTGGATCACAGAAAGCTTCTCTATTCACAACCAAGTATGCCTTGCAGAAGTTTACCACCTCCTGATTCCATGACACAAGTTTGGGTTACGAGCTGTAAGATTTTCCTGGCCAATTCCTTACATTACATGGCAGTGAATAAAGCACTCTGGTCTTTGGTCACACATGGCTTATAATTATTTGTTTTTTGGTTGAACTGATATTTTCATCAATACATTATTATTGGTGGTTAGGAGAACGCTGAGTGCTTGATTTATTGGCCATGAACCTAAACGACATGCCCTTTTCCTTGATGTAGCGGAGCTACAAGTCCCAAACAAACTTCAATAAAGAGCAAGGGAAGAAAAATAGGATCAAAAAAAGGAATTGTCTAACATTTCAGGGTAACACAAACATAATAATGATAGATAATCATTTTCTTGATAAAGTTTTTTGGACAAACTAAGCCAACAATAACTATGCTGTCCCCTCTATTTGGGGACCAAGAAAAAAAGGGATTAATGATTATAGATAACCTTACTCGATCAGAAAAAAAGAAAAAGAAAAAAAAGAAAAAAAGAAAAAGTAAAAGTGATAATTCTGATTCATCGAAGCGGATGGGCGATAGCGAGATTAAACTATTTAACGTTATAAATTCCTTGTAATGGAAGTAGGGGATTAAACAAAGAGTGGGTTACTTGAATTACCTCATCAATGTCACACATGACAACCTTCTCCACTGTCTTGTGTCTTAGTATTTCTCTTGCAGTGGAACCTTCACCTCCTCCCATGATAAAGACCGTCTTTGGACTGCAAGCAGATGTAGAAAAACAATCGCTACAAATTAAGCAACGCTAGAGTACCACATAGGGACCCTTCAATCCTCCAAAATACTAATAATAATAAAAACAGAAGAAAGAATTACCTTGAATGATGAAGAAATGCTGGATGAACAAGAGATTCATGGTAGATGAATTCATCCACTTCCGCACTTTGCAGCTTTCCATCAATGACTAAAGCCTGTCAGGCAGAACAAAAATAATTTATCTTAGGATAGAATACTGGAAAATTATTTAAGCTGGACATATACAAAGCACTCTTTCTTCTTAAGAGTAGAAGTTTTTTGAAACATGGACCTTGCCAAACGGCTTTGTGTCCAATAGTGCAATGTCCTGATACCGAGAGGCCCCTGTGTGCAGAATACTGCGACAAAAATAAAGAACGATAGTCAATGCACGAATCAACCATGAAAGGGGGATTTTGGAGTGTTTGTTTTTGTGTCCCACAATGTTTTTTATCTGAAATTAATGTTTCTCTTAAAAAAAATATATATATATTTTTTAATTAAAAAATACAATGTACCGCTTTGGCCTGTTAATTAACAATTTCACTTTTAAGGTTCCTTTTTTTTATTCTAATTAACAGCCACTATACCATCACAAAAACAAATAAACTTGAAGGAGAACCAAATCCTTGAAACGAGACCAGAGGGAACATGCCGGAGTATTACAGATTATATTTACAAATAGCCTTAGCCTAATGGTTTCCGCATTGAAGCATATTTTGAGTAACTTCAGTTTCTTTTTTCTTTTTTTCTTTTGGATACCCAAAAACACTTAAGACCTTTTGATGAACCAAAAAAATATGATGACTATTCTATAATTTCGCTTTGTCTCGCACAATAAAACGGTATTGGTTCTTTTTTGATTCATGAAGCTTCTCCTGTGACACTGTCTTAGGAATTCTATCATAAAATTTGTGAAATAAAACATGTTTCACCGCAAAACCCGTCACTAAATAAGAGAGAAGAGGAGATTATAAAAAACCAGTGGGTTCTTTGTTTGTTTATCTTCTATCGAAGGGAAGGGCATGGCCCTAGAGATTGAATCATCGTGGCCCGGAATGCAGGGTAGGTGTTTCGATACGGTGATGTACTTATTCTTATAGAATGGGAAATTAAGTTTCCATCTCAAGTTAAGAGCACAAGAGTTAAGATAACAGGAAGGGGGAGAAGTAAAGAAAATATAAAGATATTTTTAATACTAAAGCCTAAATTCGAAAAAACCAGTCAAGAAATAAGAGGAATATCGAAGTTGGCTGGCAATAAAACCAAACCATTTCACTTGGTTAATTTGAATGATGATGATGATGGAGCAGTTGGCGTGCAATTTATATGTACCTATTGAGAGCAAAACACCATCTCAAGTTCTCTTCAATCTCTTCTTCATACCAACAGCTCTTCCTGTAACCATTCAGTGATGAATGGCTTTTGCCATTCACACCATTGCCACTGCTAATGTCATTAGAGCAAGAAATTTCACCCATTTTTCTCTCTTCTGTATCTCTAAGTAAGCCAAGAAAGAGTGAGAGGCCAAGGCGATAGAGGAAGGAGGCTAGTACTCAAGTGAAGGATGGAGAGAAGGGTAGCAGGGCTGCACAATA